ATCGCTACAAACATTAGGGCTTAACAGATATGATTGGGTTAACAAATTTAAATCATCTCAATCACAGCAATCCCAGTCTAATTATAACAACCGTTATTTTAACATGCACAATTTTCAAACTTATTTAAGAAACATAAAACAAATGTCTTCACAAAATCAATTTCAAAACCAGCTAAGGTTTCAATCATTACAATTTAATAAATATAATTGGTTTAACAAATTTAAATCTTCTCAGGCCCAGCAATCCCTAAATCATCCCAATCACAGCAATCCCAGTCTAATTATAACAATCGTTATTTTAACATAAACCATTTTAAAACTTATTTGAATAACTTAAAACAAATGTCTTCATCAAATCAATTTAATAAACAGCTAAATAGTCAATCACAACAATTTAACCGATATAATTGGTTTAATAATTTTAAATCTTCTCAGTCCCAGCAATCGCAGTCTAATTATAACAACAGGTATTTTAACACTTATTCAAACAACATGAAACAATTGATTTTATCAAATCAATTTAAGAAACACCTTAACTATCAGTCAGCACAGCCTCTGTCGCAGACAATCCCTTCCAAACCTTTACTATATTTTAAAAATCAACGTTTTGTTCGGGGAATACCTTTACTATTATTGCATCCATATTTCTATCACAAATATGGTCTACCTGTGCAGCCACTCTCAAAACAGTCCTTAAAGTTTAATAATTATTATTGGTTTAATAAATTAAAAACCCAATCACAACAATCCCAATCTAGCTCTAACAACCGCTTTAACATGCACAATTCAATTAATTATTTAAGAAACATAAAACAAATGTCTTCGCAAAATCAATTTCAAAAACAGCTAAGTAGTCAATCACAACGATTTAATAGGTATAATTGGTTTAACAATTTTAAATCTTCTCAGGCCCAGCAATCACAGTCTAGCTATAACAACCGTTATTTAAACATGCACAATTTTAAATCATATACACCGAATATCAATTATAGATATAAACGTAGCATGCAACATTCTATTAACCAAAAGCAACAACAACAAATAATTAGCATCAGTCTAGCTATAACAATCGTTATTTAAACATGCACAATTTTAAAAATGACTTAGGCAACATAAATCAAATGTCTTCATTAAATCAATTTCAGAAACAGAATAGAATACAATCAGCACGTTTTAATAGATATGATTGGTTTAATAAACTTAAATCATCCCAATTACAGCAATCACAGTCTAGCTATAACAACCGCTATGTTAACATGCACAATAGTCAATCTAATGCACCTTATATGAATTATAGATATAAACGTAGCATGCAACAACAACAGCAACAACAACAAATGAGTAGCAATAATATGCAACAAACCCCTCCCCTGTCCCCCATTCATAATATTTATACAACACTTTCGACAGTAACTCAATCAAAACCCAATCTATCGGTGTTACCAAGGTGGCTTGTTAAAGGGTTGCCTGTACTATTACTGCGTCCATATATTTACTATAAATATCGCCCACCCGTGCGTTCAATTCAAACATTAGGGTTTAACAGATATGATTGGTTTAATAAATTTAAATCATCTCAATCACAGAAATCACAGTCTAATTATAACAACCGCTATATAAACATGCACAATTTTAAAACTTATTTAAATAACGCAAAACAAACGTCTTCATCAAATCAATTTAATAAACAGCTAAATAGTCAATTACAACCATTTAATAGATATGATTGGTTTAACAATTTTAAATCTTCTCAGTCCCAGCAATCGCAGTCTAATTATAACAACCGTAATTTTGACATGCAATCATATGCATCTAATATTAATTATAGATATAAACGTAGCATGCAACAACAACAGCAACAACAGAGAAATAGTTATTTAAATCAACCAAAACGCAATCTATCGGTGTTACCAAGGTGGCTTGTTAAAGGGTTACCTGTACTACTACTGCGTCCATATATTTACTATAAATATCGCCCACCCGTGCGATCAATCCAAACACAAACTTTAGGTTTTAATAGATATGATTGGTTTAATAAATTTAAAACATCCCGGTCACAACAATCCCAGTCTAATAACAACAATCTCTATTTTAACAAGCGCAATTATCAAATTGATTCTAATTTTAACAAAATGAAACAGTTATTTTTTAATAAGCATAATGTTCAATCCTATAAACCTTATATCAATTATAGATATAAACGTAGCATGCAACATTCTATTCAACAGCAACAACAACAAAGTAGTAATAATGGACGACTAATAACTTCCCTGTCCCCGAATAATATTCAACTTAAACGTAATCAATCAGTGTTACCAAAATGGGTTGTTAGAGGATTACCTGTACTATTATTGCGTCCATATATTTACTACAAATATCGCCCACCCATACGTCCAATTCTAAAACAGTCTATAAGGTTTAATAATTATGATTGGTTCAACAAATTTAAATCATCTCAATCACAACAATCTCAGTCTAGTTATGACAATCGCCACTTTAACATGCACAATCTTAAAACTTATTCAAACAATAAGAATCAAATGGGTTTATCAAACAATTTTCAAAAACAACAAAACCGATATTTTAATAAGCACAATTTTCAATCATTTAAACCTTATATGAATTCTAGATATAAGCGTAGCATGCAACATTCTACCCAACAGCAACAACAAATAAGTAATAATGTTATACTAACCCCTCCCCTGTCCTCCATTCGTAGTATTTACACAACACTTCCGACAGCACCCATGAAAAATAGTCCTAAACGCAATCCATTGGTGTCACCAAGGTGGCTTGTTAAAGGTTTACCTGTACTATTATTGCGTCCATATATTTACTACAAATATCGCCCACCCGTGCGGGCAATTCAAACATTAGGGTTTAACAGATATGATTGGTTTAATAAATTTAAATCATCCCGGTCACAGCAATCCCAGTCTAATTATAACAATCGCTATTTTGCAAATTATTTAAATGACATGAAACACATGTATTCAACAAAACGAGTTGAAAATCGTCTAAAAAGTCAATCAACACCGTCTGTATCACAGATTACTCCCTCCAACCCTTCAATATATCTCAGACATAAACGCAATGCAATATATCGGCCGACAATACATTCCCCGCCTATTATTAAAGGAAATGCTAAGAAAATGATTTCGTATCCATTTTCACGCCTAACCCCTGTATTACTGCCATTAGCCCTACCCTTACTTTTGTGGCCAGTGTTTGGGCACACAAATAAAACACAATTAAATTTTGCAACATTTCCAATACAACACTATCCATATTCTCCTAATATAAACTTTATGTTAAACCGCAAAACTGATCCATTGATTAAATGGTTGGCACCAATTGCTCCAATGCTTGCACTCATACCCCACTATCCCTTACGTACTATTAAACCAAATAAATTGTATGCCATTCCGCCGCCCCTTCCTATTCTGCCTCTAATCCCGATAACTAACTACTGGTCCTCAACACAGACTATGCAACCATTGAAACCTATCTTATGGTTGAATATGAAGTGGCCGTTCAATATATACCCAATTATTCAGTCGACACGTTTGCCGATACCCTTTGCTCCCTTAGCCCCTATTAAAACCCGGATTAAATCACTAACTAATCGATATTAACACAATTTCAATAAACTAATTATATTTCATGTAAAATAAATTGATGTAAATAATTTAAAATGTAATATCTCGTTGTGTGATCCTTGTTAAATTAAATTTATGTCTTTTGTAATTAATACCTAAACCCTCATAATATTCTCATTAAATTATATTATAAATGTATAAAACAATATTTGAAATGTGACACTAAAACAAACCTATTATAAATAATAGTGGTTTACTATATTTTTATAAAAATATTGTATTTATGTTTTTAAAATATATATTTGGGATTAAATGTTGAGTAAAAATGAAAAGTTTGTCAATAATAGCGATAATAGAACTAATAATGTGTGTAAATAGTGTTTACGGGAAATCACTTTCAATGATATTAAAGGAGAAACAAAGCGAAAACGAGTCGAGTATTGATAACGTTATGTACGTTAAAGACGAAGACCAGGGAATGCTTGGTCTGATCGGTGAGAATCTGAGTCACATTCAGGACATGGTTTACGACGCGAACAATCAGCTCAAGTCTATGATGGAGTCGGGAGGCCTTCCTGTCATCAAACAGTCCATCGATATGTTAAAGCTATGGCAAAGACAGGCCAACAGATTCACTAAATCGCTTGGTTTTATGTTTGGCTAACTAATGTTAAGCTAATTATTATTATTATTTGTAAAGTTATAATGATTTTCACAAAACTTTAATCAATTTAATTTAAAACTTTTGTTTTAAAAAATGTTTATTTAAGTTTAGTTTATTTAAGTTTATTTTTGTTACTTTATTTAAACTTACTTGTTAGCACAAATAGTGCAAAAACACACAAATCGTGTGTTTAATGTGAGTTTACATTTTTGTATTAACTCTGCATTGACTGATTGTATGTGTTGAAAGTTTAGGACTTAAATGGGGTGACAATTTGGTCACTTTGATGTCCAGTACAGTATATGTGTAATTGTCGGTAGTGTTTGTGTTTAACATATTGGCAGTAATAATAAGGTTAACTTATTTTAAATATAGCTTTAAATTTAAATAAATTAATTTCACAAAATACTGAAATATAAATTCTACGTAATATTTCATTTTACCTTTACATATTCAACTAGGTTACCCTGGTAGAATTGTTAAAATTAATTTTGTATAAGCTTTTAAATATGTTATTAGTGTGCATAGTTATTATTTTAAAATAATTGATGTAGTAACTGTTTTATTTTTGTAACTGTTTTTTTATCAATATTAATAATAAAACGCATAAATTATTATGCATTTCATTTAATTTATCTTTGTTACCATGATACCATTGATACCATAATACCGTAATATTACACGTATATTATCTTATAATATAAGTAATAATATAAATATAATACAAGTAAAATAATAAGACATTTGCAAAATAATTTGTAAAGTATTTATTCAATTGATTCAATGAAATGAAAAACAAATAATTCAAATCGATGGAGAAAATAACAAATCGTGATTTATATTTCCGGGATTTCATCGAGTTTAAAGATTTGGTCGAATTAAATGCCAAACTCGTGGCCGACCTGCGAGAACATCCCTATTTCTGCGATGATATGACTAAAGTGGTTGAGGTTTGAGTCGCTGTGTATTACTTAATACAATTCATTGATTGAGTTTCACTTAATGTGACAGAAATTAGCGACGGATAGCGAAAAGTTGGTCTTCATATTGGTTTGGTTCACGCGTTCGCGCAGTACTTGCGGTGAATTCATACGACTATTGGCCGAATCGGGTCAGAAAGAAACCGCTCAACGACTCCTAACATATAATACATCCAAAGGACATAACGTTGAGTCCGGGTTCAGGATTTGTCCCGAAATAGAGTTAGTATAAATGATTTATATTTGCAATCACCATGTTTTTAATGAACTTTAATTGATAAAATCAAAAGGTTATTACCAATATTTAGTAAATTAGTTATTTAGAAAATTTTAATTAAGAATTTTTCCCTTGGTACTGTATGCAAAATTACAGTAAGTGAGCATAGTATTTAAATATAAATTGCTAATTTATATAATTAATTTATAACTGATATTATAACTGATATTATATTATTACTTGACCGCCTCTCTAATACTATGATATACAATATTAGATTTCTAATAGTTAACATTTAATGTAGAGGGAGGTCTGTGTATTAAATGATAAAATTTATTGAACACAGTATTACTAGTTCTGAATATATATAAAATATATATTTTTATATTATTAGTTAATTAATTTAGAGAATTGATATTATATTTATAGATTATTTAATTTATTTGTTTTATACATTTATTTTAAAATTAATTTATTTACAACAAAATAATCTTATTATGATTTTTAGATAAAACTATTAATGGTTTATTAATTTGAAATAATAACCGAGACACTAGTTTCTACATAAATTAATTTAATGTTTTTATTGACTAAACAAACAACAACTTTACACAAACCTTATACTCACATTAAAACATGGTATTATTACATAGGGAACAAAGATTTTAATTAATTTACATCTTTATATATAGAGTACAGAAAGCGAGGTCTCCAATGATGGGAAGTCTTTACTATAAAATGGATCAAAAACCCAGAGGAAAGTGTATTATATTAAACAATGTCCCAAAAGAGTGTCACATGGAGTCAAACCGATTCAAATACATATTTGAAAAACTGCACTTTCAAGTGATCGAGGGTTACAATTGGACCGCAAAACAAATGGTCATTAATTTGAGAGAAATCATCGAAAAAGAAGACAAATCGTGTCAAGCATTGGTTGTTATGATTATAAGCCACGGATTAGAGGAGAAGATAATGGGTTCGGACGCGTGCGACGCGATGAGGGTATTGGGCGATAACGCCAACGACACGGCAGCCAAACGAGTGCTCGACACCGATGTGGTCGACATCAGAGATATTGTGGATCTCTGTTCGGTTCAGAATTGTCCGGAACTGAGAAATATTCCCAAACTATTCTTCTTTACGTGTTGTAGAAATTGTAAAACAAATATTAGAATATCTTTAAGTATTTTAATATTAATTGCATTAAACTATTATTTTGTGGTCAAAACAAGCGCTGAAGAGAGAAATGTGTGGCGAAGGGAAAGTGAAGGGCAAGAATTTGGCCATACCTTTCATCGAAGTGGCCGCACATCCCAAAAGACATTTTCCGGATATGCAGTCATTAGACAAGCAATGGGTGGACAACAATATGGATACGTTTATATGCTATTCCTGTGCTGAAGGTCTGTTAAATTTAAAATTAATAATAACTAACAAAACATTTGTATTCATATAATTAGGACATAAAACTTTTTACGACGAGGAATATGGTATCAGTCACTTCGGACAGGCCTTCAGCCATACAATAGCTCAATACGCGTGCGAAGAGACGCTGACATCAATAATGAGCAGGGTTAGTTAGAATGATTAGTTGTTGGTTTTATTTATATGAAATTTTTTTAAATTCAATTCCCATTTCTTTCAATAGACGTGTGATTTTCTGCAGCTCTTCGTCGAGCAGACGGACGCAAATCCACCGGAGTTTAGGGGTAAAGGACTTCGACGACAACTTTGCTTTAATCCATAAAATATCATGTTTATGAAATTTTTAAGCACATATTTTATTACTTTTAATAAATATGATTTAATTAGTTAATTTTATAATTTATTTCAAACATAACAATTATACAATATTTGTTTGTTAAAAGTTTTTCAAGTACAGTATCAAGTAATTTGTAAACTAACATAAAATATGATTTTAAAATAATGTGAGCAAAGAATGTTTGTTGTAAAAATAATGAAAAAGAATTGCACTATAAAAATAATAAATTGAAATTTTTAACCGCAATTCACCACGATAATGAAACTTGGTTTAATTTTAATAAAAATTGCTAAATAAATTATTTAATTTTACAAAATAAAAAGTCATAGAAGTAAAAGTTATCAAAAGATTTCAATAAAATGGCGAAAATGACATTAAAGAATAAATAGTTCTTGGTAAATATAAAATGGTTTTAAATTATTTTTTCTATAAAGGTCAACACTGTTTTTACAGAAATAATTGTAAAATTATATTAAAGTTATATTTTAAAGTTATAAAAAAGTTATATTTTATGAAGATCACTTTAAGTTATTAAATCAATTGAATCACTTACCCGTAGATCTGGGCACTAGTTTTACTGCTTTGTAATAAATTACAAACTATTTTGTTTAAATGTCATACAAAACAAAAAATACTTTTTAACTTTACGTTAAAGTATTTTAATTAATATCTCAAATAATGATAATGAGGAGAATATATACAAAACTTGTTAACATTTATGTAGAAATTAATTTCATTAACACATGTCTGAGGGATTCTGTATCTGAAAAATGTATAAAAATAAGAAATATTTTACCAAAATAAATATAATTTGTTTCTAAAACTAACAAAATCTAGACATTTAGGGATAAATTCATTAAATCTGAAATATAAAGATTATATTTCTCTATCGACTCCCAAATGGATACTTCAAAACATCTGTATTGAGAGAGAGAGAGAGAGAGAGAGGCAGGGATGAATTATTTGCTACATTATTTGCATAAGTATAACATATTAATCATGGTAATACTCTATAATAGAGAGAGAGAGAGAGAGAGAGAGAGAGAGAGATTGAATGTGATATCATTAGTTGATTGTATAATTTATTTTGAACATAACAATTATGTTATATTGGTTTCTAGTTTTTTAGATTCAGTACTCAATTCTCATTTATAAAATAACACAAGTTATAAGATCTTAATCTGATATTTCACTGCATCTCTAATTGCTTTTTTGAATCGTTCAGACCTAATGTTAATTCACTATAAATCTAGACTAAAATCAAAGACAGTCAATAATATTGATATTTAATTGCATGAGTTTTATACGAAATGACAATTCAAATAGAAAATGACATTTTCTGCTATTTTTACTTAAAAATGTTTTGAAATTTAAATCGTTTTAAGTTCAGAGTTATACTACTGTATATACAAATATAACTTATGGATTATTAACTTTAGATATATAAAACCAAAATATATTTGTCAAACCATAAGTACATGTTACAATGTTTTTATATTAATGTATTGCAAATGTGTGTTGAAAAGTGTATTTCATTTTTAAAATGTTCAATTTATTGATAAAATAATGTTTTAGAGAATATTTTGAGTGCAAATGATTGTCAATGTTTGAAAATCATTACTGGCATCAAATTAAATGGACTTAAAGTTCTTATAAAACAATGTTTGTTAAAATAAAGCACTCGTTTGTTTCAATTATGAGCACTGGATATACAAAGAATGTCATTTAGTTCACGTTATGGTTGAAAAATACATGATTGTAAAAATTATAAAATATATTTAAATTTTTGTACTAAATTATTCATCATTCAGGGGAGTGTTTGCCCTATGTCATTTTACGGTAGCAAAAACTATTGCCAAACCCATAGCATTTTGTGAACCAATTTAACATTATATTAGTGTTTTGGCGACACAAAAGAGCAAGTCTTATACTTTTACATATATTTTTAAAGTAGTGTTAGATTTAGTTATAAAATGAGATTTCTCTTTAAAAACACAAATAGATTTGAAAGTCAATGGAAAATAACTGTTATTTGAATGCATGTATCGCTTGAATATACACACTATTAGAGGGCGAAGATTAAGCCCTCCGTTGACACAAAAGGTTTGTTCATTCATTCAAATGAATTCAAATTATTGATTAAATTATTTTTTCGGAGTTTGGCTTTCAATGGATTTTTATATAAAATTAAATTTTATTTTTAGACCAAAAAATATTTACTGAATATAATTCTTGTTTGCATTAACTGCTGTGAAATGAGTGCCACAAACCTATTGATTACATAAAATTTACGCTTAATGTAATGTTTGGATTTCGTTTAATGTATTTTTTGAAGTGATTTTCAGTTTAATTGTAAACCTTTTCGGAGCACTTATTATACGACACAGTATTGAACACAATTTTACATTACAATACATTGTACTTTGCATAACAGTTGTATTTTTATGCATATACTGTACAGTACTATACAGTTGGAGAGACAGTTGTGTTAGAATTTGATGTCAGAATTATTGATGTCTTTTGAGATAACGATAAATTCAAATCTCAAAAACTTGCTGTCATTTTATATAAAACTATTCACAACTTATAGTCTTGTAATTTGCTAAAAAAATTAGATTTCAAAACGATTTGAGGGATTACTACCATTTCTTAGCCCAAAAAAACACTTTAAAATCATATGAAATCATTGTTTAATGCAGGGTTTAAATCCAGTTTAATCTAATATTGATTGGGAAACTTATTTTATTTTTTGCAATTTGCATGAATATTCATTTGCTTTTATTTATCAACAATTATAACCTTAATGAGTTTTGCAAATGAATTAATATGAATATTTTAAAAGTGTATCCAATTTAATAGAACACATAATAATTATAAAAATAATTTATATAATATTTCGCAAGAATTTACTTATCATTTAAGGCAAAAGCCAATACATGGGGTAATAAGTTACTATGTTTTGCAAACATATTTTCTAAATTAAATATTTGTTTGTGTTGTCAGTTTGTCTTATATATTAAATCCCTGGCCAACAACTCATTTATTTCACAACAGAATAATCAATAAAATGTTAGCAAATTTTTATTTTATAAAATACCTTTCATATAAATGAATGGGATGTCAAATATGTTTGAAATATGTTGGGCATAGAAATAACATTTTGCATACTTTGGATATTGTATAGCCATAGCTTAACCATATGATGATTGTCATTTTTATTAGAGGCATGGACATGTTTGAGCTCAAATATTATCTTTTTATTTGGAATTGTGGTTTAAATGTTACCTTAATTTTATTTATTGTAATTATTGTCAAGAATTCCTACCAAAAACACATTTATTTAATTTATATATTCTTGAATCCCATTAGATATTACTTTCAGTCTTTTATGATAGCAAGTAATTGCAGTAAACTCTATATATTATGGCAAATGATTTCTTAACGGAAACCCTGTTTTTTCTATAGCTCTGACTTTTCTTTTATTGAATTTGATTCTTAAGACACCATTTGTATCAGAATTTAACGCTCTCTCTCTCTCTCTCTCTCTCTCTCTCTCTCTCTCTCTCTCAAGGAAGGGAACATTTGATTAGTGAAATATAATATCTGACTTCACATCCAAATTCAGAGATAATTCTTTGGATATACAGCAGTATTATTACGTATACATTGGATATAAGANCTCTCTCTCTCTCTCTCTCTCTCTCTCTCTCTCTCTCTCTCTCAAGGAAGGGAACATTTGATTAGTGAAATATAATATCTGACTTCACATCCAAATTCAGAGATAATTCTTTGGATATACAGCAGTATTATTACGTATACATTGGATATAAGAAACTGAATAAATTGCATCCAATGTAATGATAGACTGTATATAACAGTATTAATCATCTTTAATAGATATATCAGGTTTTTATTGATAAAAGATTAACTGATTTTCTTTTAGTAAAACATAAAGTTATCATTTCCTTGATTCACTAGTTATGCAACAAATTAATTAAAATCTAATATATTTAGTTAAATATGCGATTAAATTTGAAAATTATTTAAAAATTTATTTATTTCAAGAATATTTATTAATGAATTGTTATTTGAAAGAATTGCATAGAAATCCTGTATAAAGTAGTTTTTGTAAAAATAAAATCACAATTCGCTAGTGTTTTAATGTTTATTCCTATCCATTGTGTTTATTGTTAAGTTTACTATTATTGTTATTAATTTAGTATTAATTGCAATTTTTAATTAATGTTTGAGTTTAACCAAAATTTATTTACTAATTTACATGAAATTACAGTTATTAGTTATTAGTGTATTAGTTATTAAAGAATTTTATAATTTATTGAATTTTGAAGTTAAAGTGAATTTTGAATATAAAGTAAATTGATTTTTATATTCTTTCCTCTCTTTTCTTGTTTGTTATTAAAAAATGCAAATCATTTCAACATTTTTTCTCAGTTATAAATTTGAATAATTATGTCATACATGTATATATGTATATTTTTCAAATCTCTCACTTCTATAGAAACAGTGATATATAATTACAAAGTCATGAAATGTGTATAAAGTATGTGCGAAAAATTAGCCACTTTTTTATAGCGCTAGCAACGCATGAATTAATAATTTAATTAACCATGCTTATTTGCTCGCCAGTACAGTAAAACACTGTTTTGACATCATTTTGACAGATTTTTTGGTGCAAATCGTTATTAAAAATTTTAAAATGAGATTATATTTCCGAGAAATGCTTTTTACATATAAAACATTTGCTATAAATAAAATTTTTGTATAAAAATATTACTAATGGATAGACAAGGGATACGTCTTTGATTGTATAATCATTTAATGGATTCGTGTTATTATTGCAAGAATTACGAGAAGATATTGACAAAGAATTTCAATAAGGAATTTGTTTTTTGTTTTCTGCATTTGTTTTATAACATTTTGTCAAAACACTTAAACATAGATGCAATCCAATAAATAATGAATAAGATTTGTTCAAAATTGGTTTTAGTATTGAGAAATCTTAATACTTAAAAGTATTTTTGTATTGTTTTCATGTAATATCGAGTCCTAACATAAGATCTGAAT